TAATCGACCTCCTGCCAGCATCCCTGGTGGCACTGTGCATTAGGCATTAGATTGCTAACCACAGGGTCTGTGGTTCAAACCCTCTAGTCATGCTGTGGGAGAACTAGGAGACTGTCTGCCTTTGTTTGGTTCATGGTCTTGGCTGTATTATATATTCGTTTAGTAGACAGATCTTCTGACTATGAGTTGGAATGGATTCAGTGTCAGTGGGTCTTATTTTCCTGCTTCGTCTCGATTTCCTAGTTGGGGCAGTTCATACGGGCAACTGAAGTACTTTAAAATCATAGAAATTGCCATGAAAACATGCAAGCTAGCAGTCATCCGGCCCGCGGCCACACCCCGGGTGTCAGTGGCTGACGTTGGGAATGGGGTTCTAGGTGTTTCCTCCAAAATGCCTCTCGGGGGGCTTCAACTATCAACTGCTCGATTGGCAACTGGTTTAAACCACCCAGGGGCTCCACAGCTGCCCCTGTGAGCACTCAGTACGTTTCAGGCTCTTTCTGAAGGAAGCTTTGGATCCCTTGGTCCTCGGGATATTGCCTCTATTGTTAATTAGCCCCATTTTGATACATGAAAAAGAGGAGGCACAGGGATAGTAAGCAATTCTTCAAAACTCATGTCTAGTAAATGCCAGGACTGGAACCTGGAGCAGTGTGGTTTTGAACCCTCACTAGCATCCAATTTACTGCACCTGTGCCTTTGCTCTCAGGGTTTGACCAGTCAACCCCAAACCAAATCCACTGCCACGGAGGCAATTCTGGCTCATTGGGACCGTCAATAGGGCTTCTGAGCTGTAAATCTTTACAAGACCATGATAGCCCCACCTTTCCCCCGTAGAGTACCTGGTGAATTTGAACCACAGACTGCGTGGTTAGCAATCTAATGCTTACCCGAAAGAATCACCAGAGCTCCATCAATATGATGAAATACAACATCATAGAGAATAGAATGTAATAGTGGTATGCCATGAAATTGGCTCCATGGTCTGGTCTACAAATTAGGTCATGGCCCATTTGTATGAAGGAAAAAAAAAATCCAATTAAGTGAAGCAAAGGGTTTTTAGGGAATGAGATGCTCCAGTAGAACTGGACCTTTGGACTCCACTCCAGGCTTTGGGAAGCACCGAAACAAGTCAAGCCACCAGGACATCTCACCTTTATGTCCTTTCACTCAACCACAGCCTTGGCATCTGTAGGGTCTCGTTCTCTCCCTTGGTACTGCTGTTAGCAAAAACTCCCTGTTCTCTGGGAATCCCTCTCCTTTTTGTTTCTTACTGAAACTCACCCTCTAAAAGGCTAAGTCCTTCAGCACGCACTGTTTCCTGCCCTCCAGAGCATTGATAAGTAAGGAGCCCTGGTGGTGGAGTAGTGTTTTACAAGTTGGGCGGCTAACGTGAGGGTAAGCAGTTAGGTGCCACCAGTGACTCCCGGGGAGAAAGATGCGTCCTTCTGTTCCTATAAAGATTTGCAGCCTCAGAAGCATGAAGGGCAGTGCTACTCTATCTCCTGGGGTTGTGATGAGTCAGAACTGATTCGGGGCCGTGAGGTTTGAGTTTGAGGACATTAGTATTGTCTAAAGAACCAATCACCAGAAAAGGACACGCTATTTGGCAAAGTAGAAGGCCAGCTAAAACGAGGGAACCCCTGAATGAGATGGATAGACACAACAGCAACAAACAGCAAGTTTAACATGTCAAAGAGTAAGAAGACAGAGCAGAACTGGCCCGGTTTTGTTCTGGTAGCAAGTCACTAGGAGTCAGAGCCAACTGGAGAAGAAGTCACGATAAAAGAAGCAAAGACCCTCGCACGCCTGGAGCGCTGTTGGTTCTCCTCTACCTTCATCACCTTCTACTCGGTAATCTAGGGGCCAGTAGCTGCCCAGCTGGGGGAGGAATGCCTCTTGATGTTTTTGTAAAACTTATCATTATTACTTAATCATTTTATTGGGAGCTCTTAGAGATATCATCACATTCATAGTTTGATCACACCAAGCAGTACTGTGCAATTGCTACCACAATCAGTCTCAACACATTTTCTTTTTTCTTGAACTTCTTGATATTTGTTCCCCCTTGTCCCTGCCCTCCCCCCGCCATACTCCCTAGGAACCCTGATTCTTCTTTGTTCTTCTCTATGTCTTACACAATACAATACATTCATTAACATACAATTCTATTATTCAATCCCATCGAGAGGTGTGGTAGTTATATACTTTGTTGTCAATTTGAAGGATTAAGAGTGAAGGGCTGGAGTTTATCTTCTTGATCAGGTCATAGCTTGATGACCTCATTTGGAGGAGCTAAGGAGATCAATTGCTCACTTGAGGCAGGACACAGACTCACTCCCTTGGAGATTTCTACAGACAAGGCTCAGCCCCTGCTAGATATTCTTGTTGACAAGCCACACGGAGACAGGCTGATGGCAGCCACAGGATTGAAGCTGGAGAAGCCATGTGGAGACCACTGCCAGCACTGAGATGCTTACACCACCACTGGATCCACCAGACTTCCCACCCACAGGCCTGTGATTGTACTGCATGTGGCATCATTGCATGTGTTTCATGAGTCTGAAGAGGAATTTATAGATTGGTATTGGACATATGCTAATACCAGACTTATGGACTTGATCTGGACTGGACTGGGATGTTTTCTCAATATTCAATTGCTCTTGTATACAAAGCTCTTTCTTATACACATGAGTATCTATGAATTTGTTTCTCTAGTCTACCTAGACTAACACAAGTGGATTATACAACCATCAATGCTATCAGCTTCCCCCCTCCCCACACCCCTACACACTCCTTCCAGTAAGCTACTCCTGTTGCTGTTTCTGTAGGGTTATCTATCTTGATTTTCATGTGCTGAACAATGTTTAATATAAAAATACATTTTTCTTCTTTCTTCTTCCCTCTCCTCCTACCCCACTATTATGTTTACCCATCATTTACCTCTCAGTAATTCTCTTCTGATCCAATTCGATTGATCAAACATGACCTGGTTGCCATCAATTTTGGAACCCTTACTATTCCTGATGTTTATGCACTGTGCATGTCTTCCAGGCAACCGGGGGCTTCTCTTTGAAGTTGGAGATGCTGCTGAGGGTGTGAACCTGACTGAAGCTACCTCTGGGTACAGGTGGCAGATTGTCCCGAATGCTAGCTCTCCATCTGGATTTTGGTCCAAGGCAGGGCAACCTTTCAGGTATGTTACATATGCCAAGCAAAACCTGTGTTGTATTGCTTGAGCCTCTTCCCTTGCCTGTGCGAGGCTAGGCTGCGGAAAGCAAAGCCATGGGCTTTGCAGGGTAGCATTAGTACCGCTGGCCAGCTCAACAGCAGCTCCGTTTGACTGATGCTCTCAATGGCTGTGGGATCATCATTCTAGTTATATCACAGGCCCTTTATACATGCACTCCCAAATTTTGATCCATTTGCAATTTTGAACTTTCTCCAATTCCGTTTATCATCTGTTTGGGAGGTTTCTCTCAGCTGGACAATGAGCTGAGAAGATGGGCCAGGAGACTGGGCAGAGAGTGTGGTGCCCAGGCCCGAAGGGGCATGCCAAGTCCCACAGATAACTCTGGGCTGTCATCATTGGGGAGCTAGTAGGAAGGAGCCAGAGATAAGCCACCCTCACATACTCACATGCACAATGCAGCAAAGAAGCCAACCACAGGCTTCTTGATGCATAGAATTGCTTCAAAAGAGATGAAGCCGGTCTCCCCTCAAGGTGAGAGTGGCGGATGTTGTCTAGTTTTTAAAGGGCACATTCAAGGGGAAGGGGGACTGGAGCTCTGCAGAGGCCACTTTCCAATTATTTACCAAGTTTGTGCTTCTACATATTTCTTTCTAATTAATGTCAGGATATAATATTGTGCCAGGATGCCTTGAGTCTTCCCGCAGGCTGATTTTTTTTTGGGGGGGGGCATGGAGGGGAGTAAGCTGTCTCAGGATGTCCACCCAGCCTGACCTCAACATTGAGGCATTGACCAGGCTTGATATCTCCAGGCCTACTGTTTATTTTCCTAGCTGGCAGAATGCTTTCTCCCTTGTCAAACAGAATGTCCATTCCTAGCAAGCAGAGGGCCCATTTCCTTAGCAAACAGAAAACAGAATGTTCACTCTGCAGCACGCAGAAGTCCCTGTCCTGTCCCTGCCAGAGGGCCACCTGGGGTGAAGCCAAAGCTGGCTGATGCCAAAGAAGATAGGAAAGTTCACCCTGTGGGCATATAAGGAAGCGCAGGGCAGGCTGAGCAGCAAGTACTCCTGGAACAACTCCCCAGAGCTGAAGGTCAATGCAATGACAAGTGTGATTCAGAGCTGGGGAAGTTCTCGTGGGCTCAGAGAGACATGGCGTTGTGTTGCTGTGACTGCGTTGTGGTTATGGTTTCTGGTTTTGTGTTTGAATTACTGGGGTTAAAAAATTAGGCTGAAATTACTAGTGCCCTAAACCAAACCCAACCAAATTACTGCCATCGAGTCATTTCTGACTCAGAATGACCCACAGGGGACTTGACACAACAGAAATCTTGTGGACGGTGTAAACTCGCTGTTGCCTTGGGGTGTTCTCAGTGCTTATGGAGCAGGCTAGATCCGTTACTGCAGGAGGGACCTCTCCTCATTTTAAACTCCTTCTAGAAGCAGGGTTTGATGCTGGTCATGACTCCTGAGGATGGTTTTGGTCAATCAGTGACCCCCTCCACAGAGGTGAGCACCTCACATCTCAGTAAATGGTGAGGGAAAAGGCTTTGCTTCCTGCTACCGGGAACTGTCGGGCATTGAAGAAGGAAAGCACGGGAGGTACTCTGTGAATTTCTCGAATAGCATCACCGTCGCGCCTTCAGTTTTACTTGCTAGGTGTTGGGTCCAGGCTCTGGCTGTACTCTTGACAACATTTAACCGCCAATTTGTGGTTTCACAGGAGCCCTGGTGGCACAGTGGTTACCCATTGGACTGCTACCTCAAGGTCAGCAGTTCAACACCACTAGCAGCTCTTTGGGAGAAAAGTAAGTCCACTCCCGTAAAGAGTTGCAGTTTTCAAACCCACAGGGCAGTTCTACTCTGCCCTATGGGGTCCCTGTGAGGTGCTTTTGACTTGATGG